TTTAAACGCTAGTCCTATCCCCTGCGTGCCCCGCCAGCCCCGCCCCCAGGGAACGCTGAGACAGCGATTGAGACTGGGCGTGGTGGCGCGCGCCTGTAATCCCAGCCCTTGGGAGGCTGAAAACAGGAGGATCACCACAAGTCCGATCTGTGTAGTGAGACCCTGTAGACCTTGTGCTAAATACATTTAAAAAAGAAAAAAGACTAATCCTTACAGGGCTAATAGTATAGGAAAAGTTTTTTGTTTGCTTATTTTGTAGGTACAAAATCAACTTAATATAAGTATATGGAATATACTTATCCAAAATGCTTGGGATCAGTGTTACTAAATTCAAGGGTTTTTGTTTTTGTTTTTTCAGTTTCCGGAATACTTGCATATATATAAAGCTATCTTGGGGATGGAGACCAAGTCTAAATATGAAATTTACTGCTTCATGTACACCTTTTATAAGGAGACTGGGGGCACTTTTAGACGGTGTTTCTAGTCACCTACTTTTTTAATCTAGCCCATCACATGATCTCAGATGTGAAATCGTCCACTTCTGGGAGCGTGTCAGCATTCAAAAGTTTCAGATTTTGAAGCACTGAAGATTTTAGATTTAGAGATTTGAGGTGCTCAACCCGAATAATGAAGAATTCTGGGGGAAGTAGAACTGTCCACGAAGGTAGCGCACGGCCCCGAGGAAAGTGTTTGATTGGGCAGAACGCCTGTCCATCAAGGTGCGCGGAGCTGCTTCTCGGGGCTGGACCTAAACCAGTAACTGTGGGTCCTTTCCTGGGAGCGTACGGAAGAGCCAAACTGCTTCTCACCTCTTTATTTATTTTTTTTAAAAACGCTTCAGATTTATTAGTAAATTTTCCCTCTCAGGAAATCTGAAGAGTAAATAGGTATTATTCTTGAATATTTGTATGCAAAATATTTTTGCACGTATTATCACAATTAATAGAAAATTAATGAAGTTCATCCATTCTTAATATAAACTCATCCACTCAAAAAACATCTGTAACAATTCTAATCACATTCCTCCTCCACTAGATTGTAGAGCTGTCTAGGGTCAGGGGCCTGTTTGGGCACCACGGCCCACCCTTGTTTTCTTCGTGTCCACTGCTCAGCATGTGAGGGTCTCCAAACAGCCCTCTCCTCTGTCCAGGCCACAACCTCAAGCTCACTGGCCCTTCCTGCAATGAGTGCATCCAAGTAGCATATGACTTTATTTATCTTTTATATTTATGTATTTGATAAAGGGTCTTTCTACGCAGCTCGGACTCATAGCAATCCTCCTGTTTCAGTCTCCCCAGTGCTGGCATTACAGGTTTATGCCACCAAAACTGAACTGGTGGCTGGCTCAGCAGGCCCAGGGCAGGGCCAGCACAGCATGTGGTACCGGGCATCAAACCCAAGTCTTTGTGCTTGTCAGGCAGGTATTTAGACCCCCAAACTATCTCCCATCCTTAGAAAGCACAGGACCTTAAGAAAAGCAAGAGGGGGGGCTTACTTGTGGCCATGTCCCTAGTGCCAGAAATGGAGGTCTAGATACAAAAATCTGTATCCTGTTTCCCTCCCAGCTGGGCACCAGAGCCCTTTTAGGCACTTGCTTCTTTATTCTTCTCAATAAAAAGAAGTTCCTGCAAGTGTGAAATTTGCTCTTTGTGGGCTGTGGAACTTTTGGCTTAAAAGCTACAGTGCACTGCGGTATTTTTTGGTGCCGCCAAATGGCACATAGCTACAGCACTAATGTGAGAGGAAGACAAAAGCACATCTTGGCAAACGTATCCATGAAAGTTATGGCCCCAGAGGAAAGAATGAAACAAACCAAAAAAAAAAAAAAAAAAAGGAATGAAGATTAGGTTAAAATATAACCATGTTTATAATAGTATTTAAACAAACCACAAAAGGGCCAGAAAGGACCGGATGGTCACCCAGCTGTGTTGCATCTGGGTGGAGTTGGGATTTATCCGTGCACACCGACTGCGCAGAGATTTTCCCACATTACTCTGTGGGGTTGTTTCTGGAGAATGTCTTTGCCCTTTGTTAATTACAAAATGGCCCCATGCCTAAATCATGCAAAGGGCAGTGGATGAGAATGAAGGGGCTATTTTCCACTACGGAGGGAAAAGCAGCCGCCGACTAGCTTATTCCTTGTCGTGTGTAGCCCAGAGCCAAGAAAACTATAACCACTGACAAGGTAAGCGCCTCCTACTCCAGGTTGGTGAAAGATGCATTTTGCCAGTTGAAGGTGGGAGACCCTCAGAAGCACCATACGACTCGGTATAAACATCTTGTTTTGCTGCCCCTCTCAACCCCCAGGAAGCCTTGGTGGAAGAAGGGAGGTGGATGAGTGTGGGTGCCAACCTGCCAGCATGCCAGGAGAGATGTCGAGGGGTTCATGCTGCAGTGTCTATTGAATTCGCTTTTGGATGCTCGGCAGGGCTTTGTGGGGAGAGCAGGCAGGCTGGTTTCAAGGGCCCTGTGACCAAGGTAGCTGAGATTTTACAATGACACTGAGCGATTGACTGTCCTTTTCTGTTTCATGCTGGCGCCTGGCAGAGTGTGGGAACTACTGCCTCAATAGTAAGTACAGTGTGTCCCGGGAAAGGTTGTGAACCTTGCTGGGCCCCTGCCAGGACCTGCCAGGGCAGGCTCTGGCCTGGCCAGGGCTCAGTGCAGGCCAACCACATGCAGGGGGAACCGGGGTGAGAAGCAAGGGCTCAGATGTTCCCCAGGGGCTGAAGGGAACCTACTTGTGAGAGTGAGCGTGGGCCCTAGGAGCACACCGCTCTCCCAGTGGGAGCTGGGGGTGCTGAGCGCCTGGGCTGGGGGCTTCCCAGGCAGCTCAATGTGGCTCCCAGAGATGGACCTCTCCTAAGGCTTTGGGTAAGAGCTGATGTGTGACAAGCGTGTCCTGACCATTTCATGAAGTCCAGGGGAACAAGGGCTGTTGGCCACAGGCCCAGGGACACAGCCAACAACAGCATGGACAGGACCCAGCTGCCCCTCTCACCCTGGGGTGAGCCAAATCCACTGGGGGCGCCACAGTTATGTTTAGCCCTGGGAAGGGCTCCCTGCCAGCCAGCAGGGATGGTCTCCAGTTCTCCTTCCTAGCACTGATTCCTGAAGGGACCCCTGCCACTCTTCCCACCTCCTCCAGCTTTGTTCTTGTTTTTTGCCTTAGTTTTTTGTAGAACTGGATGGGGACTGAATCGGAGGCTTTACCATAAGCTGTGTCCCCAGACATTTAATTTTTTTTTTCTTTTTTTGAGAAAGGGTCTTGCTACTCTGAGTTGCCCAGGTTGAGCTCTAATTTATGATCCTCCTGCCTCAGCCTCGCAGAGTGCTGAGATTATGCAGTGCCACACCCAACTCCACCATGTCCAGTTCTGCAGCCCAGTTCCTTCCTCCCCACCCCACCCCCTGCCCTTCCCCTTTCTATTTGTGTCCTCTGGATTTCCTCCTCTCTGGGGTTCCCCTCCTCTCCTTTCCCTTTCCACTTTCTGCTGCTTCTGTGCAGGTGGCTGCTGTCTCTGCCTCCTCTCCTGCCTCTGTCCCTGCCTTGGCTCCTTCCCGGTTGCTGATTTCTCTTCATTTTCACTCTTCCGCTCGTTTCCTTCTCAGCTTATTTCCTCATTCCTCTGACCACTGCACACCCCACTCCTCTTCCTTCTCCACCCCCCATCTGCATTAACCAGAAGGATGGGGGGGGGGGTGGCTGGTGCTGCGGTCACAGTGTTCGTCTCTGTCCCTAATGGTTGCTCCAGGCCACAGGTCCTTGGCCAGTGCCACACAGCATTGCTTCAGAGAGCAACAAAGCGGTTTGTTGGAGAATTACCTCAGAAATCATCTTTTGAAGTTTTCCTTCTCTTCCTTTATGTTTTTCATCTTTCTTTCCTTTCTTCCTCCCTTTCTTCTTTCTTTTTCTCTTTTGCTTTGTTTTGCTTTGTTTTCTCTTCTCGTCTCCTCTTTCATGAAATGGTTTTGGGAACATGCTACAGTAACCTGAATTTATACATGAGGACCCAGTGTCTTTGGCCTTCTGTCTGTCTGTCTGTCTGTCCATTTATCTTTGTGCTTAAAAGTTTTGAAAGCTATTCCTGTATCTTTCTGAAGAGGAAAGAAGCACCTTTATTATCTCCTGTGCAGAAATCCCCTCACCATATCTCCATTTGTGACACCAAACACAGCTACTTAGTCTGTTCTTCTGCTGAGTGTAACAAGATAATTCCTCAGGAAAACAAAATGATTGAGAAATTTCAGAGGAAGGAAATTCACTTCAAAAATGCTGGCTCATAAAGTGGTGGCCAGGAGCCAGAATTAACGAGAGCCAGTCGAGTTCTTGGTCTATTGCTCCCTTTGCTAATGACTCCGGAAGCTCGATGCTTTCTGTGCCTTCTGTGCCTTCTGTCCCTCTTATGTAAAAGGGGCATAACCACCCTGCCCTGGCCTTGCACTTCCTAATGCTGCATGAGCTTATGGTGAGCACTATGCAGTCTCACAGTGGAAGGTGACTGGTAGATGTAGGTCCGGAAGTCTACCCGGCGCCCTTCCCCAGTCTCTCAAGGTCATGGCTTAAGGGGTCAGATGCATTAGTATTAAGTAAACTCCTGTAGGCCTTGTTTGGGAATTATTCTTCTGCCTTCCTTGGCGAATACCTGGGCTTATTCCCAGCTGCTCCCCACGTTTCTAAAGCCTTACTCTTTGGTTTCCAAGAATCACTGGGAGCAGTTCAAGTTTCAGCCCATTGCAAAACCTCTGTAGTCCTTAGTTCAGGGACAGTGACTGTCAGTCCCCAGGGAGGGATAAATGTGGAGGTACTGACTCTAGACCATCTGATTGGTCTCCCTTGAAGCTGACCAACCTCAAGCGCAGCCAGGAGAAGGAACTGACAGGTTGTTAAGAGTCCCATGTCCAGGGCCTGGCCTTCCCAGCATGTTCCTGCCATGTGTGTGCTTGGAGAGGTCAAGAGAGCCACGGACCACATAACCTCTATTTCTGTTCTGTCACAGCCATTACAGAAGCCATCGAGATCCCACAGTTTATCGGCCGCAGTTACCTGACATATGACAATCCAGATATCCTCAAGAGGTAAGAAGCTCCAACAGCATCTTACTCTCTCCCTGCTTGTAATTCCTCAGGGCCGCTGCCGGGTCTTTCCTTATCTTTCATATCAGTGTATAATTCTCAAAGAGGGCTATGGCCAGGGGATGGATGGGGACACACAGGCAATAAACAGGGAAACCAGAACAAAATAAAACAAAACAAAACTGAATTTGAAAACATCAGCTTTCCCAACAACTCCATGAAAAGCCAGCCAAACCCTTCTGGTCAAAGGGCCTGCAGAGAATCATGTGACTGTCCTGGGGTTTCCAAGGCCCAGGCTCTAAGCAACAGACAGAAGCTGATGGTGAGTGTGACTTCTAGAGCCAGCTCTGCACGGCTCTTAGCTGGTCTGCAGCTCTGCCAGGGCTGGCTGTGGAAGGCTCCAGTGGCTCCCTAGCCGCCCCACAGCTCTGAGCCTACTTCCTGCCTGCACCACACTTGCCTTGTATCATGATCCACAAGCATCCCGTGTCCTGTTTAGGCTCTGGCCAGTGTAGTTAGGGTTTCTCGGATCTTTCTGTGTGGCTACAAAAGCATGGCTTGAGAAAACAGCCATACTTTTAAACCCCTGATGGCATAAGCTCCAGGGTGGGGCTAGAATCATAGTTCTGTTTGGGAACACCCTGGGTAGGTCAAAGGGGACAAGGCTGTTCCTCAACAAACTCTTCTACTCAGTCATGCTTGTCTGAGGCACCTTCACTTTTCCTCTTCTCTTCCCCAACCATTTGTCATTTATATTGTGACATCCCATGGCAAAATCATTCCAGAACTTTCTCTTCAGGTTGACTATATACCAGCAAAAAAGGACAAATCTTTAAACTAAAGGCATGTAGACGTTAGGGCAGAGCTTGGTGAGAGAAATTTAGGGGGATGGGCATTTCACATCCCTGGTAACTCTGCAAGCATACCAGATAGACATTGCTTCACCTCTCTAACCCCGACTTGTACTCACCTCTGTTGTCTTTGTACCAGGGTCTTAGGTAAATGCATTCCCAGCCAACAGAGACCCTCTTCCTTCTTCAAAGCCTTCTTTTCCAAATATAGATTTGGTGCCCAGAGGCAGTAACAGTGTGAAAGTAAGAGATAAGGAGGCTTCAAACCAGAGTGACTCTGGACTCTGGTGGGGTGGATGAGCAGGCTGATAGCTCTGTCTCTGTCTCTGTCTCTGTCTCTGTCTCTGTCTCTGTCTCTGTCTCTGTCTTTATATCCATCCTCACATCTATGTTCATATCTAGTCTCTATGTGCATGTGTGTGAAGTCACAGACAGAAGCCATGGGATGTATCTTTCAGAGATGATTTCTGTGTCAAGTGACAGAAAACTCAGCCTGAAATATCTCAAACATAATGAGTATTAAGTATGTTATATAACTAAAAGTTCGGACTTAGACTGGATCCTGGGTTGATTAATTCAAAGGATCAACTATATTATCAAAGACCCAGATCTCATCCACATGTCTGCTTTGTTATCCTCAGGGTATTCCTCAGTTGCTCATATAATACTCATAATATGGCTATAAAATTGGGGATTATACAGCAAATGTAACAAAGACTCCTTCCCTTATTAGAAAGAGAAGGTATCTTTCTAAGGGTCATCTTGATAAATTTCCTCTATCTTGTCATGTCTACTCCTAAATCAGTCACCTTTGAGATAAATGGAACTATCTCAATTGGCTTATACCAATGAATGAACACACCCAAGTGAAGGAGACCAGGACCCTGGAGCAAAATTTTGGAAAAAGTGCAGACTCTGGCAAACCTAGTTAGGCGTCCCCACCCGCCATTCACTAGGGAAAGCACTCTGCAGTTCTAGAAAATGGGAAAGGAGGAAGGATTTTACAAGTAATGGGAGGACAGAAAAGAAACATTTTAGCAGTGCCACATCAGTAGCAACATTACTGTACGCTTATCTCAACTTCAGTTCTAGCACCTGAGGCTTGCTTACTGCCCTCCAGCACATGAAATACTGATCACTTTAATCAGAGTGAATTTCTGAACTAATCTGTTTCCAAGCACTGAGGGAGGCTGTTTCTATGCACTGGTAAGCGCATGAAACTTCCCAGGCCTGCATGCAGAGCCAGGGCCCTTCTTGCCTCAACTCTCCTCCCATCTTCAAGCTTCCTATTCCTCTCCACCGTGGCTCCAGCACAGCCACTCTGAACCACCGTTCCATTGAGCCACTTTCTCTGTCCAAGACATCAGGCCTCCCCTAAAGACAGTCTACCAGAAGTAGCCTCCACAACCAGGATGACAGCACAGAGCAACCGCCTGTTGAAGCCTTGAGGCAGTTGGGAAATCTGCTTTCTGTGGGACTGTGGGGAGGGACTTCCCAAGAGCCTTTGAGTACTAGGACAGAAAAGGGGAACACTGAGGTGTGTATTGCAGTGCAACCTGAAATGGTGCCGAGACATTAGCCACACGGTCTTGCCAATAAGTCCCCTGGAAGTGCCCTTGTAGGGCTTCGTTGTACATGACAGACAGACACTGCTGCTCAGTGAGCATCCACACCCTTACAGTGGTGGCGTGACTCATGGGGGCCATACTATCTAATCTGGAAAGGGCGTGTCAGAAATGCCAGACTATACTCATACCTGGTTCCTTGAGGCTGCCAGGTCCACCTGGGACCACTGGGAAGCCGACGTTGGTGGCTGACCTCACAGACTCGATTGTGTCTTTGCCCCAGAGTGTCAGGATCAAGATCAAATGCATTCATGAGGTTTAAAACAACTGCCAAGGACGGCCTGCTGATGTGGAGAGGAGACAGCCCCATGAGACCCAACAGTGACTTCATTTCTCTGGGCCTTCGGGATGGAGCCCTGGTGTTCAGGTAACTTGCTCTCTAGCTTCCCCTAGCAGCATCTAGCAGTTTTCTCAGAGAGCACAGTTTGTGGCAAGCAGAGTGATTTGGAAGTGAACCACAACAGCCTGCTGGAATTTGGCTGTAGCCTGAATATTTAGGCTTACTTCAGGCTCTCGGTGTTTGCCTCCAGCACCCACGTGGATAGCAAAGAGCCCCAGAGCCAATCTGGCAGCTGCTCTTCAGCTGCAACCCTGCCATAGTCATTCTGTACACACTGTCTCTGAGCACATTCATGCGATGGTGGCACACTCCAGCAGGTCCCAAAGGAGCTGGGTGGCCAAGCCCACACTACTTCCTCTGTGGCCCTTTACAGAACAATTCTGTGCCCCTGCTCTGGTGGATTACCACTGTGTGCTCCCTATTTACAAATTAGGGCGAAAGTGAGAGTTTAATGCTGCCTAGCATGAAAGCAGAGCTTGAGAGTGTATACACAACTCAACACTCCCCAGCTCAGGAAAATTTGAAGATCTAAACCCCAAGAGGCCTGGCTTTACATTCCACTGCTTCCCGTTAGCTGTGGAACCTTAGGAAGAATACCGCCGTCCAGTCTCCTGCTGAAAAAAGATAAAAGCCCAGATTCATATCTCAGTAGATCAGCTCAGCTTTAGGCTCTCTGTAAATACTCCTTTGGTGATAATACAGCAATCAAAGAAATTCTTATCTCTTTGAAGTGAATTTAGATTGTGTTCAGATTTGCCCGATGCAAATTTATATTGTAGCTATGCAATAGTTAAGGAAAAGTTACCTGGACAGTTTTATCCCCACCCTTCTTCCTGCTAGAACGGGTGACAGCCAAGTTTCCAGTGCAGGAACTATCTAGTGTCACGGAAAACCTTCTCCAGAGATCATAGTACACATTCTCACTTGAGATTAAAAAATCACCACTTCAGAGGGGTGGTTCCTGGACTTGTGATATCTGGGAACTTGCTGGAAATTCTCTGGTTCTGGTGCCACCCCAACCTAGAAATCTATGTGTGACCATTTCCCTGGACGATCCTGATGCCTGCAAAGGTTTGAGGACCCCTGAGCTTTGTCTCCAGGCTCTGTCCCACTGGCAGGCACTTCTGGGGCTTTTACTCCTGTAATCCCCCCAGTGGTGATAAGCCCATGTTCACTAAATAATATGCAATTACTTGGGCTTGGAATAGACAAAGGAGAGAAAAAGGAGCTGCAGAAATGGTTAGGACTTAATTCTGAGGCTTGTGTCTGTCACACTCTAGGATTACCAACAGCCAGAGGAGGATAATGTAAATCTTTTCAATCTGAAGAAGAGGCCTTTTGAGAGGAAGCACCACTTCTCCAACACAGTGTCTGCCTCCAAGCAGCAGAGCATGCTAAGCGAGCCAGTCAGTGCTGGGACTGTGGGGGACTTCGGGGAGTTATGTAGTGATGGGTGAGGGCAGATATTCATCAACTCTGCCCTCTCCCTGACCTATGTCCCCTGCCCTTTGTTGGCTGGGAGGTCAGAAGACTCGGAGGTCTTCACACACACACACACTGTTTCAAGCTGGCTTCCTCGAAGACATTTTCTTGTGGTTTTCCTGTGGTTAACCTCATCAAGGCCTCAAGTACTTGACTATGCCCAGAAAAGGGAACTGAAACAGTAGCTGAGCAGTGAGTGGGATGGCCCAACTTCCCCCCTAAACTGTCAGCCAAAACCTGTTCTCCAGCTCCTCCAGCCAGACTGGAAACTGGAGAAGCTCAGGCTGGGACTCCCCTCTGCGCAGTGCCCTTCCTGCCGCTAGCCCCACGCCATCCTGAACAGAGTTCTCAGCTTACTGTTTCTTTCTGAAATCCTAAAAACTGTCCCCGAACTCTCTTCCAATCCCAGCATTCTGCGTGTGTTGTGCAGGATGCTCTGCTGAGCCCTGGCCAAGTCCATGCCCAGGCCAGGCTGGAGCCACATCTTTGCTGTCCCCACCTGCGCAAGGAGCCCTTAGGGGTGCAGCGCCCACCTGGGGACAGGCAGGAATGAGTACTAGCCTGCAACAAGCTGCCAAGACATTTGTCTCAAAGGTAGATTCCTGAGTCTGTCCTCGCAAGTCGGATGGTTTAGGTGAGCACGAAAAAGGAAGTGCTCAGCTGAAATGAGTCTGCTTTATTTTCATTTTGTCTTATGATTGCATGTGAAGCATAAAACCGATTAGTGGCTTTATAGCCATCACGGGACTGACATCCTTCCTCACTGATTTTGTCCATGTAACATTTTTCATGCAACAGAAAGGAAGGAGAGCTGACATTAGTAAAGTGCCTCGTGCCAGTTGAAAGACATAACTAAGAGTCATCACACGAAGGCAGGAAATTGGCCTCACCTGACGGCGGTGCCTGGCGGCCCACCTTAGTGCTCAGGCTTGCAGCCCTTAGTTGAAGGCTCAGGATAACCCATTCATAGCAGCCAGAGTCACGGGCACTGGTAAAAAAGAAATCAGACAAACATTCACTTGTTTGTCTTTGCCTTTTGATATTGAGACATAACTTAAGTGTGGTACACTCATGTACAGTGTGTATAAAGTTGACAAACTGTAAAGCAGGCCCACATTGCAGCCTGTAGATATGCTAAGGAAGATAAGGGACATTTCCACCACCAGGAGAAAGTTCTCTCACTCCTCCTTCAGGGAAAATAACCGCAGATTTCAGCCATTTGCCAAAATATGAAAAATGAGCTCCTCCAGGTGAGTATGAGTGTGCTTGAGGAGGCAGACCGCTCTTTAGATGGTCTGAGATCACAAAATCGGGCTGCAGGGAAACCAACTGGGTTGCGCCCACCCATGGCGACCACTGTCTGTCTGTTTGCCAGATTGTATGCACTCCCCTTGCCAGAAGAGCAAGTGAGCTGTCAGGCTTTAGAAGAGAGGGCCAGGGCTGGAGAGATGGCTCAGTGGTCTAAAGCACCTACTTGAAACAAGCTTGGCAAAGCACAGGGACCGCGGTTCGATCCCCCAGCACCACATGCCAGCCAGCCCCGCCCCCTGGTGGGCTGAGCTGGCCACACACACACACACAATAAATAAATGTAATAAATAAAATAATTTAAAAAAAATTATTAGAAGAGAGGGCCAGTCCAGGAGGGATCTCCTACTCCAGAAAAGGGCTCTGGTGCCCAGCACAAGTTCCAGTCCACCTCCCTGCAATTATGTCCAGGTCACCTTTATTCTGAGAGCAGGCATTCCTGGTCATTATGGTTACATATTTACAACCTATGAGTCCACTCTCACACATGGCTACTCTCCTAGAAGAGACCACGTGACTTTCCCTCTTGGTGGCAGCTGTCTCCTTCCATCCTGTTCCTCCAGGTGACTGGCAGCACTCCCCAAGCTGCAGGAAGTGCTGCAAGTTTCTGGGGCGCTGGCATCATTTGTTCTGCCCTTCCCCAGTGGCATGCTTTCACCATGTGGTCACAGTCCCTGTGCTCTTTCAGGGAAGGTGTTCTTATCCACCTTTGACACACAGGATTCTCAGACTCAGGGATGTGGAGAAAATTGCCTGCAGTTACAGTTAGTAAATCAGGGGTGCAGGCAGGTCAGCAGGACCTGAGTGTCCCTGCCCTGTCACCCCACACTGTGTCTCAGAAGAGACACAATGAGGATTTCAGCTAGCTTCCTGCCAATTATCTCCTGGCCCTGCTTCCTAGTCATTGATTTCTTCAACGAGCATTTGGCCAGCACATAATGAAATCTGAAAATTCTGCCTCTGGGCTGCGAATACAAGGTGACATGTGATAGGGGAAAATTCATTAGAACACAGTGCATTTTTTCGGGGTCAGAGTGGCAGCTTTGTCCTGTGGTTTGTTGTGCAGTTATCAAGTTCTATTCCTGCTTGAAAGTCAATGTGACTTCTCTGAGCCTCTGCTGTTAAAGGAGTGGGCCGTGGGGGTTCTCTGAGCACTTTCTCTTCTCCTCAGAGCGAATGTGAAGGAAAGCTCCACAATAAATCTGAGTTCTCTTTCACTGGGCCTATTTCTTGGGTGCTGGGGTAAAGGAGACACACTTGCCCTTACAACTGAGTAGCGAGACTCTGTATCAAATAAATAAATTTTTAAAAAGATGAAGGGGCAGGTACCCTGCTGCACGCCTTCCCCTCTGATGCATGTTCGCATAGGCCCTGCCATATCCTCGAGGAGAGGTCCAGGCAGTTGGCCCACTGCCCAGGCTGGAGTACTCACTAAATATTTCTTAACTGAATTAAATTGGAATAATTGAATGAGCCCTGGATTAAGAGGGCTGTTGCTCTCTGGGAAACAGCATGGTCGTGTGTTCCGATACCTTTAGAGGGTCAGGGCATCTGGACACTGAATCAGTAAGATAGGGATGGGACAGGCAGTGCATCAAGTTCAACTTGCGTGAGTTGATTTTGTGCTGTGAGTCAGATTGCCTTCATCCCTTTAGGGTTCAATCTACTCTGCAATGTTTTAGATTTTAGCTTTTACTTTTTATGAATGAAAACACATGTATTAGTTGTCTAGGGCTGACATAACATTACCATAAGTAGTGTGACTTCAAACACTAAAAAGTTACTCTTGCAGTTCTGGACACTAGAAATCCAAAATGCAACATGTCTCCCAGATCGGGGTTCCTCATAGAGAGTCTGAGAGAAAATCTGTACTAGGCTTCTTTCGAGGGCCTGGCATTCCCTATCAATCCTTAGTGTTGCATATTTTGTAGATGCTTTGCTTCACCCTCTGCCTTTAGCATCCGGTGGCGTCCTCCCCTGTGTGTCTGTCCCCGCCTACAAATCTCTTCTTACAAGAATGCCAGGCATATGGATTTATGGATGCCCTGATACAGTGTGACATCATTTAACTAATTACATCAGATCCTATTTTCACATAAAACTTTCTTAGGGTCTGGGCAGACGTGAATGTTAGAGGAACGCTACTCAGTCCTTTTTAGCATATTATTAAATGGTGAAGCCCTTGCTGTTATTCCTGACATTACAATATCAGTGCTTCCATATGTGGTACTTTAAAAAACTGACCTTGATGTTATGATGCTAAGCAAAGTAAACTAGTCCAAAGACACATTACTATATGCTTCCACTTATATGAGGTCTTTAGGATAGCGAAACCCATAAGACAGAAAATAAAAGGGCAGTTATTTGGGCCTGGAAGAAAGGCTGTGGAGGGCTGGGGAGATAGCTCAGTAGGGTAAGTGCTTGGCCAGCCAGCTCAAGGGCCTGAGTTCAATCCCTGGTTCCGAAACAAAACAAACAAACAACAACAACAACAAAAACTACTAAAGAAAGAATTTGGAGTTACTGGGTACAGTGTTTTTATGTCACAAGATGGAATGAGTCATGGAGATTGGTTTCATAATTGTGAATATATTTAACACTACTGAACTGTACACTTAAAATAGGATGGTGTTATGAGATATGTATTTTACTCTAATTGAAAATTTATTTAGGAAAATCGTTCATGAGCTAATCTGGAAATTGACTGCCTTTTTGTATCATTGTTTCATTTTGTGTTAAGGAACTTCTCTCTGTATTCCATATAATCTTTGCAATAGGAAGGCTTTGGGCTGGTCAAATAGCTCAGCAGATTAAAGGGTCTGCAAACAGGCTCAGGGGTCAGGGGTTCAATCCCCTGGCCTGCTGTGCTGGCCCTGCCCCCAGAGCACACTGAGACAGTGATTGAGATTAGGTGTGGTGGTGCACACCTATAGGTGTGGTGGTGCACGCCTATAATCCCAGCACTTAGGAGGCTGTAAACAGGAGAATCACTATGAGTCCGATCTGTAGTGAGACCCTGAACACCCTGTAGACCTTTCCTTAAAACTACAAAAAAAAAAAAAAAAAAAAAAGGAAGGCTTTGTGCATGGGTGACTGCCTATCCTTCCATGCACTGATCTGTTTGCTATCTTGTTCTCTAATTCTCTCAGCTACAATCTAGGCAGTGGTGTGGCGTCCATCGTGGTGAACGGCTCCTTCCATGACGGCCGGTGGCACCGGGTCAAGGCAGTTAGGTAAGCTTGTAGCACTCCAGGACATAATAGCCTGTGTGCAGGGGGGCTGTGGGTCGGGTTCATTTGCAGTCCCACTGTCCTATTCTCCAAGTGCTCCTGACCTCCTGTAGTCATGACCCAGGGCAATCTGTATTTTGCAACCAAGTCCCATTGTGTCCTCCACTGACCCTGAGAGGCCAGTGACCAGGCCACACACACACACACACACACACACACAAGATAGGAAGACAGGAAGGAAGGAAGAGGAAGAATAAGCTACACGAAATGGCTACTTTTGGAGAAAAATACTTGTTAATGGCTAAACTTGGGAGGGCCTTGACATTTAGTAAGAAGAGATTTCAAATATATGCACTTTGAAAAATGCTCCATATTTCAATGCGTTATTTCTGTTTTTAAAAGACATTATCTGCATCTTAAACTCTGTAGCTTACACAGCCCCACTGACACATTACCTCCTCACAGTGACAGTCACTGTCCTGGCCTCTGAGATTATCTTTGGGTGAATGACTCTTGCTCTTTGTTCTTTTATTCTCTCCCTCCCCCCACTTCCCGTCCCTTCCTTTCTCTTTCCATCTTATTCCTCTTCCTTTTCATTCCTTCCCATCTTCCTTTTGTGTGTGTGTGTGTGTGTGTGTGTGTGTGTGTGTGTGTGTGCAGTATGTGGTTCTGGGGATTGAACCTAAGACCCCAGCCAAGTGCTCTACCAGTGAGCTATACCCCTAACCTTTTTACTTTTCTTAGTAATTTTTAGCTTTACTACTTACATCTATATTGGGTCCAAATTCAGTGATGTCAACGCTTATGTCAGATGAGGAACCCAGGCAATGATAAGCTGAACAGAGACTCTGTTCTTCCCTGATAATTTACTATGACCTTTTCTCTAAGGTCGAGAGGGGGGCTGTGAAATATGGGGCTCAGCAGGGTCTGTTTTCTCCTCAGCTCCCATGTTTGCTGTGGTGGCTATGGCCTTTCTGAGTCCCTGGGGCTGGCTGCTGTGCCTTCTTTTGATACCTTTAAGGAGGTTGGGTCACAGAGGCAGATCTGGCCCTGTCTGCTATAGGCCTAGAGAGCCCTAGGGACAATGTGTAGTGGTATCAATACAGGGAAAAACTGATCTCTCAACCTAAAAGTTACCTGGGACGAATTCATGTTCTCTAAAACTGAATAATGAATTTTAGGAACAAAAGGAGGTTATGAGCAGAATATATTTATTGAGGGAAAGAAAGCTCCTGTCTGAGAGAGGGACAAGGGGGGGTGAGCAGGTATTCCCTGGAAGCTGTCTCTTCCAGGGATTTTTATAGAGGAAAACCATGCAGTGAGGCAGGTCTAAGGTGGTGGAGAACATGGGAACTCCCTTAGGTAGGCATGAGGTGGGACAAAACTATGGTCAGCCAATGAGATGACAAACACCATTGCTCAGGTAAAATTGATTAAATCCAATACCAAATGGGGAAGCAAGTCATGGACAGGGTCTTTTCCTGTTGGGTTAGGGCTAGTGACTCATTTGGGCTCTTTCAAAGGTGATTGATACCTATTTAGAGTATCAATCCCTGATGCCCATCCCTAGGGAAGTATGTAGCTGTGGTTCCTCTTTTGTCTTGGTCTTTAGGTCTGGCCCAGCGGGAGTGTCTCTTCCAAGTTGCAAAGTCACCTTGTCTTCCACCTTGGCTCCTTGAGGGCCTGGCCCTGTCTGACTGCCTATAATATTTCTATCTAATCGAGCTGCCAACAACAATATTTGATGAAGCCCCAGCTCTAACTGCTTTTAAAAAACAAAATGTTTTCCCATACTGCATATTTACAGGCTTGGATCTGAAATTTATTCTAGAATACATGTCAAAATGTACACAGTCCAGCTGAACTCTAGAAATATCTCTAACTAGGTGGTTCATTTCTCAGATCCATCTATGAAGAGGGCTTCTCAGAGGCACTTAAAGGAGCACGAAATGCTTCAGTTCTTAACTCTAGTCATCCCTGACCCTCACAATCCCCACTCTGGAATGATCAGGGAATGGCCTGCTCTCAATTTCCTTGGGTGGAGCTGGAAGACTGAATATTTAGACACTGTGGCAGTTTTTGAAACTTCCATAGTTGTGGTTTGATTCTGTATGTCAAGATAGACACCGTGTGAATGCCAGATCCTTCCTAATTATCTAAGAGAATAGTAAATGAGATTTCTGTCAAGGCTCTTTGTGTTCCATGTCATAGTGCAGCCTATCCACAACTCCACAACTGAGAGCTCAGATGTTTAGGAGGAATACAGCAGTGGGATGTTCCCCTAGAAGAACTTCAGATGCTAGCATATCAAGCTTAGCAACTTGGGAACTGGGACAAAGCTACCATTCTAAATAGGCCAAGAAGGAGTGGCTGGATACATTAATTCTTTATAGCAGGCTTTGGGGTGAGAAATAAGAAATCTAATGAAGAGGAGATCCCCAAGGAGGATTTACCTGAGTACTGTCTTGCTTTGGATAATCTGGCCTTGCAAGCTTCATTACTAACAGAATAGAGAAAATTTCGCATTTATTAAACATCTCCAAGTACCAGTAATTTACACACTTACTTTCTCTAAATGAATAGTCATAATAATTTAAGTTACATAATCTTTGTTTTATGGGTAAAAAGGGTATGTAATGCTAGTGTTGACAAGAAGAGCAACACACCAACTTCATAGTGTTTATCAAGGAAGATATTTGTCAAGTTCCATGTTCTGTGTTTGTGTGGTAACATCTGACTGCCACAATAACTTTGGAAGATAAGCATAATGATTCCGATTTCAACTGAGAACGCTGAAGCTCCAAAAATTCACTTGTGCATCCATCGCTTGCTATAAGCCACATGCTATTCAAGAAATATGAAATGGATAGGATAAAACCAAATCTACCCTGATGACCATGCATTCTACTGGGAAGCAACAGAAAATAAGTAATAAAATGAGTAAGAAGCACATTATTTGTAATGTCCAATGTGATATCAATCCTTTGATATCAATTAAATTTGTCATTGATTGGAGTATATATCTTCATTTAATAAATATGAAAAAAAATTAAATCCTTATAATCAATAGAAAAGACCAAGTGGGAAAACTGTTGTATTTTAGAAGAAGAAAGAGGGCTGGGGAGATAGCTTGGTGATCTAAGCACCTGTCTGGAAAGTGCAAGGATCCAAGCCCAATCCCCAGTACTGCATGCCATGCCAGCCATGTGCCAACCCTGAAACTGGGTGTTGGGGTACATGCCTGTAATCCCAGCACTTGGGAGGCTGAGACAGTAGGATCACTATGAGTTTGAACTGCTTAGTGACTCCTTGTATATAATAAATAAATAAATATGAATGAAGAAGAGGAAGAAGAAGGAGAAG